AGAATATCAACATGAAACTAGGAAACTTGAACAACACTATACACCGATTAGACCTAACAGACATCTATCTATAGAACACCCATCAGTTGAAGAATGTAAATTCTTCTCAAGTGATGGAATATTCTCTGGGATAGACCAAATACTAAGCCATATATTTTGAATCTCAATAAATTTTAAAAAGATTGAAATCATACAAGGTAAATTCTCTGACCACAATAGAATGAAATTAGAAATTAATAACAGAAATAAATTTGGGAATTTCACAAACATGTGAAAATGAAAAACATACTCCTAAATAACCAATGGACAAAAAGGGCATCAAAAGAGAAATTAGTACATGCTTTAAAATGAAGAAATGATAGACACAACATAAGTTATAGCATGTAGCTAAAGCAGTGTTGGGAAATTTAGAGCTTAAACACATACATTAAAAAAAGAAAGATCTGAAATAAATAATCATACTTTTCATCTTAAAACGATGAAGGTAAAAAAGGGCAAACTAAACCCAAAGCATAAAGAGAAAGGAAATAATCAAGCAGATAATAGAAAAATGTTAGAGAAAGACAATGAAACTAAAAGTTTGTGCTTTGGAAAGGTCAACAAAATTGACAAACCTTTAGCTATACTGACTTTGTTTTGTGTTGCTATAACAGAATACCTGAGGCTAGGTAATTTATAAACAAAATAGGTCACTGTTATTAGCTCATGGTGCGATGGGCTGGGAAGTTCAATGGCATGGCCCTGGCTTTTGGTGAGGTCTTCTGTGCTGGGTCATAACATGGCAAGGAAGGTCAAAAGGGAAGCAGACAAGTGCAAAGAGAGAAAACCTGAGGGGTATCTTGGCTTTATAACAACCTACCACTCTTAGGGGAACTAATCCAGTTTCATCAGAGTGAGAACTCACTCTCTACAAGAACAACAGCAGGGCCAGCAATGAGGCTATCACCTTTACTTGTGAGGTTGAGCTGGAGGATCACTTGAGACCTTGAGTCTGAGGTTGCAGTGAGTCATGACTGTACCACCTCTCTCCAGCCTGGGTGACAGAGAGAGACCCTATCTTTTTTGTTTGTTTGTTTGTAGAAAGTGATTTATTTAAAGAGAGAGAGAAACAGGAGGAGAGAGAAAGAAACAGCTAACTCTCACACTGAGTGAGAGAATCCAGAAAGATGGAATCCAGGAGATGAAAGCAGCTTCCACACTGAGTGGAAGGAAACAGAGAGAGATGGAGTTTAGGAAGAGAAGACAGGCTTCCATGAAGGGAGTGTTCGTGGAAGGGGACTCCAGAGGGGAAATCCAGGATAGAGAAAAACAGCTTCCACAAGCACGAGAGTGTTCGTGAAAGGGGATCCAAACATGGAGTCCCAACCCTATCTTTAAAAAAAAAAAAAACAACAGAACAGCACTGAGCCATTCATGAGAGATCCATCCCCTTCATTCAAATACCTCCCATTAGGTCCGACCTCCCAACACCATCACATGGGGGAATCAAATTTCAACATGAGTTTTGGTGGAGACAAACTCAAAACATATCCAAACCATAGCACTGACCAATAAATAAAGAAGACTCAAATTACTAAAACCAGCCATGAAAGAGGGAACATGAATATCAATTTTACAGATATAAAAAAATTATAATATTATGAACAATGTTAGGCCAACAAATTAGACAACTTAGATGAAATAGATGTATTCTTAAAAAGATGCAAACTACCACAAGCAACTCAAGAAGAAAGAGAAAATCATAGACTTATAATAAGAGTTTGAATTAGTAATTTTAAAACTACTGACAAAGAAAAGACCAGGCCCAGGTGACTTCTCTGCTAGATTCTATCAGACATTTAAAGAAGAATGAATACAAATTCTTCACAAACACTTCCAAAAATAGACAAGGAGGGAACATTTCCCAACTTATTTAACGAGGCCAGTTATACCTGATAGCAAAACTAAAGACATTACAAGAAAACTGCAGACCAATATCTCGTAGGAATATATATGTAAAAATATGCAACAAAATACTAGCAAACTGAATGTGGCAATATATAAAAAGAAGTATACACCACAGATGAGTGGGGTTTATACCAAGAATGAAAGGTTGATTTCATGTCCCCAAAACAATCAATGTAACACGCCATATCAATAGAATAAAGGACAATGAAACCACATGGTCTTTTACAATAAACACAAAAAAAGGATTTGTCAAAATTCAAAACTTCTTCAAGATAAAAACAGACAACTTTCCAGGAATAGAAGGAAACTTCCTCACCTGTATAAAGGGTATCTATTTAGAATTCACATTAACATCATACTTAGTCGTAGAAGACAATGCTTTTCCTCTAAGAACAGGAAAAAGACAAGTATGTCTGGCCACTCTTGCTGTTTCTATTCAACACTGTAATGGAGGTCTAGCATCTTAGCTTGGGCTGCCATAATAAAATATCAAACAGCAGACATTTATTTTGTCACAAATTTTAGGAAGTTCTCATTGTACTCAAGGCAAGAAAACCCTAGACTAGGGTGTTGGCTGTTGAGATGGAAACTGGTGGTCAGATTCAGGATATTATTTTTGGAAGTAAAGTTTACAAGATTTTCTCACAGGATACAGGAGGAGAAAGTGAAGAGAGAGAACAATAAAGAATCAACATGTACATTTTTGGCTAGACCAACCTGTTGAACTTTGGGGCTCCTCAGTGGATGGAAGACCAGCAGAGGGAGAATCAAGAATTATCTTTTTTGGCCATTTGATGTTTGAGCTTGTGAACCCCAAAAATCTGAGACAAGTCTCAGTCATTTAGGAAGTTTATTTTGCCAAAATTAAGAACACATGCCCATGACATAGCCTGAGGAGGTGCTGAGGACATGTGCCCAAGGTGGTTGGATCACAGCTTGATTTTATATTATACATTTTAGGGCGACATGAGACATCAATCAACATATGTAAGATGAACATTGTTTTGGCCTGGAAAGGTGGGGCAACTCAAAGCAAAGGCAGGACGAACTTGAAGCAGGGAGGGGGATTCCAGGTCAGAGGTAGGTAAGAGACAAATGGTGGCATTCTTTTGAGTTTCTGATTGGTCTTTCCAAAGGAGACAGTCAGATATACTGTACGTCTATCTCAGTGAGCAGGGGGATAACTTTCAATAGAATGGGAGGCATGTTTGCCCTATGCAGTTCCCAGCTTGACTTTTCCCTTTAGCTTAATTATTTTGGGTCCCCGAGATTTATTTTCCTTTCACCAGCTGTCTATTAGATATCCAAGAGATGTCAGCAAGGAGTTGAATACATGTGCGTGTAGTTCCCAGAAGGATCAGCACCTGAATGACAGGCACATTGAAGGCGTTTAAAGCCAGGTTTAAGGCTAGGTGCGGTGGCTCACGCCTATAATCCCAGCACTTTGGGAGGACAAGGCGGTTGGATCACCTGAGGTCGGGAGTTGAGACCATCCTGACCAACATGGAAAAACCCCGCCCAACAAAATTAGCCGGGAGTGGTGGCACAGGCCTGTAATCCCAGCTACTCAGGAGGCTGAGGCAGGAGAATCGCTTGAACCTGGGAGGCAGAGGTTGCAGTGGGCCGATATTGTGCCGTTGCACTCTAGCGTGGGAAACAATAGCGAAGCTCCATCTCAAAAAACGAAAGAAAAAAAAAAACCAGGCTGAGGTTATTTGGAGAAATTTCAAGAGAAAGGAGAGATTATTTGGAGGAATTTTTAGAGAAAGGTTATTTGAAGAGAAAGGCGGGGAGTGGGAGTAGGGTGGAGTGGGGGTGGGGTGGAGGTAGAGGCAGTGAATCATCCTGGGGATGCCAATGTCCGGAAGTTAAGTAAAGGAGAACCAGCCAAGAAGTTTGAGAAGGATCAGCTAGTGTAGAGAAGAGAAAAACAACTGTGCTGCTCAGAAAGCAAGACAGTAGTGTTTCAAGGAGTTTGGTAGAACTGGGCTGGGAGTCATGCTGGATGAAGAAACAATTGGGTTTTATCTTGCAGGTCTCTGCTATCCTTGAGAGGGCTATTCAGTGGAGGGGTGGGGAAAGGGACTAATTGGTACTAATTGAGTTAAGTTGAAAAGGTGAGGTGAGGTAATGCAACTATTTCCTTTTTTTCACGCAGGCTAATGTGCAGTAGCACAATCTCGGCTCACTGCAATTTCTGCCTCCTGGGTTCAAGTGATTCTCCTGACTCAGCCTCCAGAGTAGCTGGGATTGCAGGCGGCCGCCACCACGCCCGGATAATTTTTGTATTTTTAGTAGAAATGGGGTTTCATTATGTTGGCCAAGCTGGTCACCGAACTCCTGACCTCAAGTGATCCGCCCGCCTCGGCCTCCCAAAATGCTGGGATTACAGGCGTGAGCCACCGAGCCCGACTAGTAACTATTTTCATTTGACTGATGGGACAGTGCACATTTTGGTTGGCATTTGTAGTTAGAAATGTTTGAGAGAAAACTCAAATATATGTTACAAGCCTATGTGTCCCGTTCCATTGTGAAGAGTACTGACCTAGGATCTCTGTAGCTACTGAATGTTTTTTAATTGATAACACACATCTGAAAGTGCATAAAGTCTTAAAATGTACAGCTTGATCCTTTTTTTAAAAAACTTATACATACGCCCATATAACTCCTGTTCACATACATCCAACATAACCATAAGGTTCCTCTGCACTTTCCCTGCCTATAATCTCTCACAAGTAAACCCATTCCGACTCCTATAAAAATCCAGTAGCTTTACCACATTGTTTTTGAAGGATATCTAATTGGAAAACTGCTTTAGCACATTATAAACTTACCAATTTCCTTGAGTAAGTAGACGCTAACCATTTGGCGCCAAAATCGTGGGAGCGACTTTAAGGCCTTCTTCCTCAAAACACCTCCCCGCTTTCTACACCACGCCTCCTTTTGCTCTGTTCCTTCCCCACAATATTGGGGCACCCTAGGCGGTAGAAGAAGCCGCTTTTCTGTCATGCGCACTGAGTAGACGTGGGCTTCCCTCTTTCCCGACTCATGCGCATTGAGAGTCCTCTAGACCCGCTCACCTCGCAGAGCCGTAGTGCGCATGCGCGGAGCGGCCAGCGAGGGCGGAAGTGGGAGCTGCGACTGGGAGGAGGGGCCGCTGCGCTTGCTGTGAGGTGGGCGAGCGGCGGACATGGCGCCCTCCGGGAGTCTTGCAGTTGCTCTGGCAGTCCTGGTGCTGTTGCTTTGGGGTCCTCCTTGGACCCACGGGCGGCGCAGCAACGTTCGCGTCATCACGGATGAGAACTGGAGAGAGCTGCTGGAAGGAGACTGGATGATAGAATTGTGAGTGCGGGGTGGCTGTCCCGGGCTGCCAGGGTTGTATGTCCGTGCCTTGGACGCGCGACTTCATCCCACACTTTCCTCAGGCCGGTCCCAGGCTCACGAGGACTGCTCCTCCGAGTTGCGGAGCGAGCATGCCTGAGTTCTGCGGCGCCAGAAACTCCTCTTGGGATCCGCCGCCCGCTTGGTCCCACCCCCTTGTCTCTTACCCGGGAATGTTAAGTTTCTTCTGTTGTGCATATCGTTTCGTTTCTGGGGCTGTGGTGAGCCTAAAGGGTTAGCGCCAATGCGAATTCTGACGTTTTTCATGACTTTGAGGATGCAATTGGAGCGCGGGGAGGGAAGTGTCTCACTAGTGTCCCAAGTAGTTAATTTAGAGTGATTTTTCACAGACTTCGCTTATTTTCACTACACTTTACAGAAGAGAATATTGAGCAAAATCTCTCCTCTCTTTTTGTCCTTAAACGATAGTCTGTTTATGGTGTTGGAATTTGGGGCTTTTAAGCTTTTTTTTTTTTTTTTTTTTTTTTTTTAAAGGTAAGTTTAGTTTTTTTTTTTTTTGTGAATGCTGAGTAAATTCAAATTGGGTTATTTTTAAGTTTTCGTTTTCCTTTTTTCCCTCCTCTTTTGCTTTCTCTTTTTCATTCCTCATCTCATTTTTCCTTTTGGTGTCTTTGCACTGTAGAGAATACCCTGGATTGTGACTCCTAGGTCTTTGTAAATGGTATTACATTAAAAGATAAAATTAATGTATTAATGTGATTATTATACACTGTCAAGAGCGCCAGGTCATCATTTATTGCTCGAAATAAATCATGTATCTTGTGTGGCGATTTCAATTTAATAATGGCTGTTCTGCAACAGTAGGAAAGAAAGTATCTTGCCTTTGCTTTAGATGCTAAGTTGGTGGTGTTATTATACATATTAGCGGTATTACTGACAATAGTAAAAGCATGATTACTGAGTATTAGCTGTGTACAGGACGCCACTAAGCACCTTTACACGGATACCATATTTAATTCCCTACAAATTCTCTTTGACAGGTGTTTTTCACAATTTACAAATAACAAGATACCTATATACGTTAGTTAACCTATCCAGATATTATGCTGGATTTTTTTGGCTCTTCACAGTAGGCATGCAATAATTGTTGTTAGAACACCTTCTTTAAAAAGGTTCAGCTGGAAGTGGCGTACGCTACTCAGGAGTTTGAGGTATGAGGATGGCTTGAGCCCAGAGGTTCAAGACATCCTGGGCAACATAGAGAAATAAATAAGTACATAGATAAACATTAAAAGAAGACAGGGTTCAGGTGAGTGTTTTCTTGTGTAATGGATGCAACAAGGGTTGATAAGTTAAGGAGGCCGGTGACATCCCTGAGGAAGAACCCAGAGGCTAAATCAGTAAATCCTGAGTTATTTTAAACACATACACCACACACACACACACACACACACACACCCACCCACCCACCCACCCACCCACCCACACCAACCACCCCACCCCCCGGCCTAGCTCGTTAGCTCAGGCCAGTACTGGCCTGGCTCCTTAGCTCAGGCCTCTAATCCCAGCACTTTGGGAGGTCGATTTGGGAGGATCACGAAGTCAGGGGATCAAGACTATCCTGGCTAACCGGGTGCAATCCTGTCTGTCCTAAAAATTAGCGGGCGTGGTGGGTCTTGCCTGTAGTCTCAGCTACTCTGGAGGCTGAGGCAGGAGGGTTTGCTTGAACCTGAGAGGCAGATGTTGCAGTGAGCTGAGATCACACGACTGCCCTCCAGCCTGGGTGACAGAGCAAGACTCTGTTTCAGAAAAAAACAAAACAAAACACCCCACAAAACTTACAACATTTATATGGAGGGTAAGATAAAGGGAAATAGTCATAATATGTATATAATCTGCAACTTTGAAATGAATTTTCAGGCACCATTGAAAGCTTCAGGGGAGAGGAACTATGACAAGTGACACTTTGTTTTTCAGTCATTGTCATGAGTAACTTGTTTTAGATCGTGCCTGTAAAATAGTGTTACAGGCAATTTTTTAAGCGGCAGTGATCCTGTGTTTATATGCAAAATACAGTCAAGTATTACTCAAGGATATTTTTTAACTCATTATGATCAAGCTATATAAATACAGCAATCAGAAGTATTAAAGAGAACAAGAGTAACAAAACATTGAGTATGAGGTATATCCATGTTGGAGCATTTATCTGAAATTATGCTATAGGGTAGTAGTTTCTCTGTTTTCTTAAATAGAGATTCTAAAGTTAAGTCTTTAGAAAGCAACTGACAGCCTGGGCAGCATGGCAAAACCCAATCTCTACAAAAAAATATGAAAAATTAGCTGGGCAGGCATCTGTAGTCCCAGCTCCTTGGGGGGCTGAGATGGGAGGATGTCTTGAGCCCAGGAGGTTGAGGCTACAGGGAGCCCAGATTGCACCACTGCTCTCCAGCCTGGGTAGCAAAGTGAGACCCTGTTTCAAAAAATAAAAAAGCAACCGAGCAACAAAATGAACCTGAAAAAGAAGGAATCTAGTAGTTTTAGTAATAGTCTGCTCCTAATTACAAGTGAATTATCTTCAGTAAATCCATTTCTGGTCAGAAGTTTTGTCATGGAGGTATTTTCATTGTAATACTGTTTATTGTTAGGAGCTTGGCTTTTATAGTACCAGTTTGTCTTATTCTACAATTTCTATTTTAGGAGTTTGATTTTTGTAAAACAAGTGAAAATGTGAAGTACAGAAACTGTATTTTTGTGTTTAACTGGTTTAGGCTTTATTCTTCCTGGTTTTGTTAAAAATAAACTGTTAGGTGTATTATAAGATAATATACGATAAAGTGGAAAAATAAGATCCTAGGGAGATAATGAATATCAGAGGGATAATTTAAATGCTAATATGCTTATGTTTGTAAATCCAAGGTCTTGGAAAAAGGATGACCTAGCTGGCCAAGAGTTTTGTTTGGCCTGCTTAGTATTTGTGTGTGGGTTATTTTTTGAGGTAACATTCTTATATAAAAATGCAAATCTTCATCTTCTTTTAAATATGAATAGCCAGCTTTACTGTGCCAGCTTCCCTTATGGCAATCCTACTTGGTAGTGGTTGCCACCTTGAGATGGAATATGTGCTTTTCTATTCACCACAGCCGAGGACACTCCTATTTTTCCAACACTTTGCATTTGTGACTCCGCCATGTAAATTATTAAAATTGGTGAACTCTAACTTTGATCTTGAGCTTTCTTGTAGCAACATGTTAATAGAGAAATGCAAAGGCTTTTTAAAGAGCTGTTTTGCATGTGAAAAAGTCCTTGTGTCTTATTCTCAGAATTTCATTTGATTAGCATCATCAGTTCACCATTCTTGATTTCTGGGTTGTTAGATCGTCACTTGAAACTTTTTCATCTGCATAAAATTAACCACTTTGCCGCCGTCAGTATTTTTATATAAAATACTCATTATAAGTTATACATTTAAATTTTTTATCCCAAGATAAATGGTCATACTAAAGTGCTTAACTCTTTTTTTTTTTAAATCTATATTTCTTAGTTATGCCCCGTGGTGCCCTGCTTGTCAAAATCTTCAACCAGAATGGGAAAGTTTTGCTGAATGGGGAGAAGATCTTGAAGTTAATGTTGCGAAAGTAGATGTCACAGAGCAGCCAGGTACTGTCAGTTTTTTGGTTAGTTTTGCTTCTTTGCTGTTTGGGTTGATATGTTTATCCTATTTTCTACATTACATGGTCTCCCGGAACTCTACCTTTCATTAGGTTTTGCTAACCTAACAGTCTGCAGCTAGTTAACCTGACTTGTCCACCTCCCTGATGGTGGCTTAGTTTGCAGTGTCTGCAAAATGGAGATTCCCTGATTGTGTATACACGTCATTTCTTGAATGTGTTGCTTTAAGGGTTCTTGAAGATATTACCCTCTCTTTATTCTTGCCCACATAACTGCCTCTGATTTGTTGTTCCTTGCATCCCGGGTCCCAGACTAGTGTGTAAGATGCCTTTGAGAAGTTCTAGAACACTGTGGTTCAGGTGAACATTGGCCAAGCCATATTTGCATCCACACTAAGCTTCATAATAAGGAACATGTGGTTGAGTGATTTTGTAGAGCCAAGGTCACATTCCCTGACAAAAGAAGATTCCCTGAATCTCTGAAATTGAGTTTTAAATTTCGAACCTATGATTTGAGGATGTGAGCTCCTAAATACAAAGCCCTTATAGTTGTGAGGTCAGGTGCACTCCTGACTTGGTCCCTGAACAAGTGGCAGGTCCTGCCCTTAAGGAGGCTCCTTTCTCAGACCATCCTCATCTTACCATTCCCGGTAGTTACACTATCCTTGGGTTCTTGGCTGCCCCATCCCAAATGGTAATAATAAGTAATATTTATTGAGTGCTTGCCTATTACAGCATTCTTCCAAGTATCTTGTGTTTATTATTTAATCCTTATACAACCGCATGAAATATGTAATGTCCTCATTTTACAGATAAGAAAACTGAGGCACAGACAGGTCAAGTCCCTGTTCTATCAGTGCTTGACACATGGCTAATAATAAATGTTAGCTGCTGTTGTTTTTGCCTGTCTTGTGAAAGAGTCATAGTATTTTCCATTTTTAGCAGCACCATAAACTACCTTTGTTTGTTGAATGTCAAGTTCAATTTCATTTGATTTTAGATCTAAGACCCTATTACCTTGCTCGCCCATGACTAATTACTAGTAGTCTTAGACAGTGGTATAAATGATGAAGTGTTTTTGTTTATTTAAAAATGTATTTAGTACTCTAATTCTGCATACTTTTTAACTGAGATAATGTGCAGTATTGTGTTTTTTAAAGTTGCTCTAAGTACATAATTCATTTTTAAGTATTACAAAGCACAACTATTAGGTATAATTTCATATTCTTTCCTATTAGTACCTATTTAAATAATTCAGAGTTAACTTCTAAGTAGTCAGTGATTGGCCCATGTAAAACCTTCTGTGTGTTCTTTATTTGTAGGACTGAGTGGACGGTTTATCATAACTGCCCTTCCTACTATTTATCAGTAAGTATTTGAAGATTCTCAATTGCAGAGAAGTATGCATTATAGTGTAATCAGAAGTAGTAGGCCTCTGGATTGAATCCTGTTTGAAGAGCTGAGGTAATCTTATTATATTCAGCAGGTATTTTAGAGGGCTTGCTTCGCTTAGTGTTATCCTTGGTGCCTTTAGGTAGTTGAGTGATATGTGAAGCAGTCTCTATTCTCAAAGATTTACCGTTGTTTTAGAAAGTGATGTTCTTGTGAAATGGTGTGATAAGTGATTATGAGTCCAAAGTAGTGGTGAGTCCTGTAGGACGTTGGGTAAAGGAGAAATCACTGTTACCTAGAGTGGTTCCTAGCGAATATGGGGTTTAAATGAAACCGTGAAAGTGGAATTTTAAGAGTACAGGGTAAGCATTTTGTTCTGAGGACAATCTCATAAACAGTCATTAACAGGAACATGATATGTCCGAAAAGGAACTAAGAAAGTGCTATTGTACAGCCTTGGATAGCTTAGTAGGTGACAGTTGAGTATTAAATCAAAATGAGCAAGGTTATATAGTCTTCAGTGTCAGGTCTATTAGTTTGGCTTTATCTTCTCAATTGGGGGTATGAACTCTTAAGCCTGTGTGCCTGCTCCGTACCCTAACAGCATGTAGCTGGTAGGTTAAATACCAGGAGGTACTGAAAATAAGTTGACAATTCTTGGTGTTTGTATCTTGTTTTTCTTTGCGCCCCCCCCCCCCCCCGCTTTTTTTTTCATGTTTTTAAAATTCACCCCTACTCCCTTTACATTGATTTAAATTTCTGTTCTCTGTCTCCATAAGTGCTTCTCTCCTGCCCTTCTCAGACAGTCCTTTTCCCCACATGCCCTTTCAGTCTCTCCTTTGCTTTTCACTTCCTAGTGCCCCCTGATCTTATTTGGAATTTGCTGCCCTTTTTCTTTTAGTCAAAATTGTTTACCATGTCCTTTCTCCTATTTTCTGCCTGTTGAAATCCTACCTATGCTTCAAAGAATAGCTCCAATGACACTTCACAAAAGCTTTGTGTTTGGGCGGGAGTGGGGGGGTCTTCCTTGTGGTCTTTACCTCTGGGTGGATAAAGGGTCCCTTAACCCTACTTAACCAGTCCCTAGTATGGAGCTGTTCAGGTTTTGCACTTAAAGTTGTGGGAACCAAGAGAACATGTATGACTCTGACAGAACTTTCTATGTTGGGAATGGGAAGGAGGAGATGGATCTAAGGAAGTCTGCAAAGCTGACTGTAAACAGTCACTGAAATGAGAGGAAGGGAAGCAGCGTACCAGATGCCTCCAGTGATTTAAAGCAGGGTGGCTGAGGTGATGCTATTATGGCCAAAAGTACTAGGAAAATACCTTAAAAATTTAAGTTATAGCTTAACAATGGCTAATAATTACTGTGTGCTAAGCACTATTCTAATAATTTTTATATAATTCTTTTAATATGTGTATTACACATAAGGCTTAAAAGTACCTTTCTGAGATGTATCTACTTAACTGTATTTCATAGTTTTATTATTTGGAAGAATAACATTTTAAGGCTTATGATTAAAAAAAAAATAACCTTTCTGTTTAATTAAATTAGGGGCTAATAGTCATGAGTAGGTAAATAGTATCATTTGCTATTAATACTCGTACATTGCTCATGCTTTTGAATGTTAGAATTGACTGTAAAATGAGGTGAAAAAATATCAAAATATTAAATTATTTCTCAATGCTGGATAATATTTAATTCTGATTCTCTTTAGTTGTAAAGATGGTGAATTTAGGCGCTATCAGGGTCCAAGGACTAAGAAGGACTTCATAAACTTTATAAGTGATAAAGAGTGGAAGAATATTGAGCCCGTTTCATCATGGTTTGGTCCAGGTTCTGTTCTGTAAGTATGAAGACTTTGTCTCTTACCCATTTCATAATTAATTGGAACAGATAATTATATTTTATCTAAATAAAATATTTATACTCAATTTGTTTCTTGAACTCTTAAGGTATATCCACATTTATTACATGTTTGATCTTTTTAGTTTGACCTAAGTCAAACATGTTTTCATTTTTTTGAGTTAGAGAAGGCATTTTATAGAATTCTGTTCTATACCTTTTCAGGAATATTTTCATTTGGTAGATTTGATCATTTGTATCATCAAAAACAAAATGCCCCTAAGAGTGTTCACAGCGTAATGGGTAAAGCTGTTACTCTTGTGTAATAATTGGAATGAGTAGGCCCAAGCTTGTACTCATGCTACCTCCAGACTTCAGTTTTTTGTTTTTTTTTTAATGTTCTGTCTCCATAGAGACTGCTGATGCCAACTAAATTGCAAACTTCAACTCTTGATGTAAAGTAATTGAATTATGTTTGGTTGGTTATTCCACCTGTTTGATAACTTCTTATATGAATAGTGTATATAAACAGTGACTGTAATAGCATGCCTAACCACTGAGCTTTATAGATATCTAGAGGGTAAACGAATTTCCTCTTAGCAAGTGGCTATGGAGTGATAAGGATTGGAAATAGCAAGCATGCTTTCTGCTTTGCTGTTGGGGTACGAGGCCTCACTGGTCATTTGAGAGACCACTGGGAATAGTGAGTTTTGCTGAAGTCACCAGGGACTGATCCTGTGTGGCCAAGCTGTCTTTTCCTGTCCTCTCACCACACTTACCCTTGGAGGGTAAGAAGTTGGGACAGTAACCATGTAAGAGAGAAATGCTCTAGATTCTGGGAATGGGAGAAAGATCAGCCCTGTCAACACTCACCCATTGAACTATCATGCCCAACCCAATTTTGGAACCTACTGTTCCTGAAATAAATTACTGCAGACTACAGTGAGGCTATATAGTGCTTTATATTTCAGTTCCTTGTTTCTCTTCTCACTTGGCTTTTAAACAACAGAAGCCTTTAGACATGATTAAAATAACCTTTCATGTTGAACTAAAAATAGAGCTGATTTTTGTTCTCTGAAATCTCATCTCATAAATGAATCTTGTCCTTCAGTAGAAGAAAGTAATTGCTTGTAAGTCTGTTTTCAAGCAGCTGCAATTGGGAACTCATAGACTTTTCTTATTTCTGAAGCATGCCTTTTTAAAACTGCCTGTCTGAATTACCTGGATTAAATTATGTAAAATACTAATTTTTACTTGCATGATGACTTAGCATTTATTTCCTATGTAATTATTTTATATATCATTAAAAGTTGTCAAACTAATGCTCTTGTACATTTTAATTAATTTCAATAAAAAAGAGAAATAGTTCTTAAGTGGGAAGAATTGGCTTGACAACTGTTTCCAGTCCTTCCCTGAGCCTCCCTTTGGTCATGCTTTCAAGGCTGTTAAGGGTGAATAAGAGTTTCGTTTTCCAACTGGTTTCATGGAACTCGTAACCCTTTACTCAGTGTATTGGAGAAATCATCAGATGAAAGACAAAATGTTACTGTTAGAACGGTAGGAGAAAAGGAAAAAATATTGTCAAGTATTTTTATTTATGAGGATGTCACATGGTAGTAAAAATTTAGAAACTTAGTTTTCATAAGCAAGCCTTATTACAGGCCTGAAATTTGTCATGTATCACTAGTCTTGATTAACAGCAATAAAATCTGTCATATTGGGGAAATTACAGAGTAGAAAATAGGATATATAGACAAAGCTGTGTATGTTATTCAGTTTTTTAATCATCTCTTTTATTTTTAGGATGAGTAGTATGTCAGCACTCTTTCAGCTATCTATGTGGATCAGGGTATGGACTAAAATATTTTTATCTTAAACATTTTTACTGCTGTCACTTTAACAAAAATGAACAGATTTTTAGTTTTTTTTTTCCTTTTGATTTTAGACTTGCCATAACTACTTTATTGAAGACCTTGGATTGCCAGTGTGGGGATCATATACTGTTTTTGCTTTAGCAACTCTGCTTTCTGGACTGTTACTAGGACTTGTAAGTATTTCATTTTTGGAATGGTTGGAAGAAAGATATATTAAAATGTGATAATTTAAAATAGTTACATTAGCTGTGACATATATTCTACATTCAGATTTCTTATAATGTTTATTTTTACAGTGTATGATATTTGTGGCAGATTGCCTTTGTCCTTCAAAAAGGCGTAGACCACAGCCATACCCTTCAAGTAAGTATATTTTAAAGTGTTTATTTTTTATTCACTATAGCCCTGTTCATTTCTGTAATCACAATCGCACATTTCACAGGTTGCGCTTCCAGCTTAGAATTCTAATTGTGGATTGTTGGTCTTTATCAGCTATGGCATAAGGAGAGGTAGAGGAGATGTATATTTCATGTAAGAATGTAGTCCAGTGGATTTTGGAACCTTGTTATTTTCTTGACTCTTATATTATGGATAATTTTAACGTTGCATATAGCATGTAGATATTTAATAATATTTATTTGGTGTCAATTTATAAGTGGAATATATTCTACTCTTGAAGTTATTCATTGGTATACTGGCCACCACATTTGAAGATTATTCTTTGAATGCCAGCCAATTGTAAGTGTTTTTTTTGTGGTAGGATATTGGGAAAAGCAATCCCTGTAGTTGATTTAGGATGTTATTAACACTGAACTGTACTACAGAACAATTTATTACAAGTATTTAACAATCTTGTAATTGTACTGTTAATGGAAGCCTTTATATTTGCAGTTCTTAAAGAATTTTTACGTATCTGTTACCCTGTTTGCTTTTCAGCAGCCCTGTAGTAGAGTGCATAGGTGATGCCGCTTCCATTTTGTACTTGAAACTAAAGTTCACAGTCAAACAGAAGTGACAAAGCATAGTCTTCAACTAATCAGACTTGTGGACTGATATTCCTTCATTTATGATGTCTTTCTTAACTTAGGGCTTATTGAGATCAAAATTTCTGAAATGAAGTCTATGGAGATTACATTTATAGGGTACTTTGTCCTTTCATAACTGGTAGGTCATCGTTCATTTCTTAGATAGTTGCATTGATACTAAAAAGGACATGCATAAGGGATGGAACAATTTTATCCAACAGGGACCACTGACATGTAGAAAAAACCATAAGCACAGATTACTTAAATGACAAATATATTGTTAGGTTTAAGGTTTTTGAAGTGAAATTAATATAAAATGTTTACTCACCAACTTTTAAATGGTGAATAAAATGTAAGATTTAATTTAGTATATAAAAAGATACTACATAAAAATAGCTATATAGATGGTCCCTGACCTACAGTCATTCAACTTAATATTAACTTTACAATGGTGCCAAAGGAATACGCATTCACTAGAAACTATACTTTAAATTTTGAGTTTTAGGGCCAGGCGCGGTGGCTCACGCCTGTAATCCCAGCACTTTGGGAGGCCGAGGCGGGTGGATCACAAGGTCCAGAGATCAAGACCATCCTGGTCAACATGGTGAAACCCCATCTCTACTAAAACTACAAAAAATTAGCTGGGCATGGTGGTGCGTGCCTGTAATCCCAGCTACTCAGGAGGCTGAGGCAGGAGAATTGCCTGAACCCAGGAGGCGGAGGTTGCGGTGAGCCGAGATTGCACCATTGCACTCCAGCCTGGGCAACGAGTGAAACTCTGTCTCAAAAACAAAAACAAAAACAAAAACAAAAAAAATTTTTTTTTTGAATTTTGACCAATTCCGGGCTACTGGTGTGCAAGACTATACAGTACTTTTGTGATGCTGGGCAGATTAGGTTAGGTTAGGTGTATTAATGTATTTCAACTTATGTAAAGGTAGAGTAGATATATTAAATGCCTTTTTGACTTGAGATATTTTCAAAATGCTTTATCAGAGCATACGACATCATAAGTCAAGGAGCATTTGTATTATGTTTGGTTTTCTTATATTCTGTCTTCACCCTCACATAAATCATACAGCCGTCAGAAAATCTGTAGGGTGATCAGTGTGCAACTGGCATTGGATCCCGTAAATGTAACAAAGTACATACTAACTCATGTAATATGCAGGCTGAATCATTATTGCCACTGTTGGCACATCATTCTCTCATCTCCCAAGAGTTTACTTTGGGAGTCTGAATAGATTGATTTCTCTGAGGATGTAGGTGTTGGAGTCTGCATCGTCTTACCACTTAGGGTAAACTTGAGAGTGAGACTTGCCTGGAGAACTTGTTGAAACAGATTGCTGATTCTCCACCCTGGGTTTTAGACTCAGAAGTTCTGTGTTGGGGCCAAGAATTTCTGTTTCTAATAATCCCCAAGTGAAGTTGATGTTGCTGGTCTGAGGACCACTATTTGAGAACCCCCGTCTTAGAGAAAGTGGTTACCAATAGGAAAATCTATAGGCCCCCGCACATGAAATAACTTGTGTTTTGGTGTTGACCTTACAAACTTTTTAAAGGAATACTGACTTTTTTAAAGACTTTAAAAGACTTTAAAAGAATGCTGACTTTTTAAAAGAATACTGACAAATTCTTCTAGAATCCTTTCTGTGCAATACTGTGGAATACATAACTGGTGTACACAAATAGGTAAGTGTTCTCAAACAAGAAAGATAAAACAGTATAATATGCACAATTTTAGAAACTTTAGAAGAGTTGAACCTAAGGAAATGACAGATAATACTCTACCTCTTTTAGGAAGTTACAAGAGAATTCATTCCTTGGAAGTGAAATTTTTAAAATGACTTGACTAATTCAGGTCAAGCTACTCAAGTTTTTCTGTTCTCTATTATGATCCACAGTAAGAGTCACTAAAGAAGTCTTTACCTTTAAATATCTGTTAATGTGGAGGGATTGAAAGACATAAAGCGTTTTTTTTATTCAAAAAGAAGACAAGCATGGTCTCTGAGCCAGAGGGATCTGACTGGGCATCCCAGCTCTACCACTTAATAGCAAAGCAGTATGACAGACATTTCCTACCCTCTGAGCATGTATCCTCCTTTGTGAAACGGATATAATTTCACGTTGCTCCATTAAATCATTATGATACTTTGAAGATAGGTATGTAATTCTCAATTTATCGTGGTAACACATAATAAGCATTCAGTAAGGAATTACTGTGCACATGATTATGTTATTTATTTTTCTTTAGTAATACAACTAATATTAATCCAGACTTAAAAGTGAGATTGCCATGCCCCTTCTGTAGTAGAACACATAATTTGAGTTTTCCAGTATATGTGCTTGTCTTGATTTTGAGTTGCTAGGGTTGCTAAAGAAACCCAATTCAATCTACTGTTAAGCAGAATTGGAATTTATTGGTTTATGTAGCAAAGAAGTTTGAGATCAGCATTGACCGGATCCTTAAGGCTCAAATGATGTTGTTAAGATGCTTTGTGTTTCTGACTTACTCAATTCTCCATACCTTCCTTGTTCAATTCTCAGTCGGGTGCTTTTTAGAATTTTATTTTTCCTATTTTTTTCTCTGCCCACAAGGACATCTGGATCAGCTTAGTTCTTTCCAGTCACTAGAATAAGGTGGTTTTAGAAACTCATAGTCACAATCTAAGAATAAAAAGGAAATTCATTTTTTTCTACACCCACCTATTTTTTTGGAGAAACTCTGGTGCATTCCACTGTGTAAAGGTCTCACTTCTTGGAAACCAGGGTTTCCCAACCTCGACACTATTGACGTTTTTGGCCAGATAATTTTTAGTTGTGCTGGACTGCATTTTTTACACTGTTGAATGTTTAATAGCATTCTCCTACTTGCCAGTAGCATTGTCTTTCTCAGGTGTGAAAAGCAAAAATATCTCTAGACACAGTTAAGTGTTCCTTGTGGAGGGGGCAAACTCATCCTTGGTAGAGAACCACTGCTGTAAACTAATATTCACCAGGACCACAGGGGGTATGGCATAGGGAAGGGGCTATTAGCCCAACAGAAGGATGGATTTCAGGCAGACCAAACAACAGATTGTTCACTACTAGTAATTTTTTCCGATGGTTTGTTCTGCTTTATTAACCCAATCCTTCCTTGCGGGTCCCCCTTCCCCGGCCCTATGATTCTGGATTGCCTAGGATTGGGGGCAGTCTGAGATCATTGAACAGAGTAAAGCTCTTTGACCCAATTCTGTCTCCTTTGTCTCTCCATGGTGTGCTCTAGGCTTAAGTTAACTAGCAACTGGCCCTGTAAAACATAGAAAGGATGTGTATGTGTGTACATACTCACTCATTGAAATGTGCACTTCAGATTTGTACATTTTATTGTAACTATAACATAGTAAAATAACATATATGGGGGTTGGGTAAGGGGAAGCACATTTATAATACCAGAAGAAGATATGGACAGAAATACAATCTTTAACTGTAAATGTGTAATTTCTGTTCCCCTGGGAACTGAAGCAAAGATACTGTTGAAGTTTTAGGATACTTGTAGACCAGATGATTAACAGCAAATTAATATGAGATAGTTTTTTTTTTTTTTTTTAAGCCAGTCAAATTTAGCAGTGGAGGTTGTTTATCACCATTAGTGACAGTAACATTAGTAAGTTCTGATAAGCTACTACCATTGCACCAACCAGTTCTTTTTAATGCTATATATTTTCTTACAACTTCCATATTCACAACATTAATGCTGATTCATTAAATTCAGTTCAGTTTATAAATGGGTGGGTAATTAGAATGACTTTGATAACTAAGATGGCTCAAACCAATTTTTGTTTTTATATCATGTGTTTTTTTTGTCTTGTCTTGAATAACTTTTTCCTTTTGGGAAATCCAAACATGATATATAATTGCCAAAGCAGTTTTTGGGCATATAAGTCATTGTATCTTGATTTTACTCTAAAGCAAATCTAATACGTCAACAAAAATACATTTTTTGTCTTTGTCTTTAAGAAAAATTATCAGAATCTCTGCAACCTTTGAAAAAAGTGGAGGAGGAACAAGAGGCGGATGAAGAAGATGTTTCAGAAGAAGAAGCTGAACGTAAAGAAGGAACAAACAAAGACTTTCCACAGAATGCCATAAGACAACGCTCTCTAGGTCCATCGTTGGCCACAGATAAATCTTAGTTGAATTTTATAGTTATCTTAATATTATGATTTTGATAAAAACAGAAGATTAATCATTTCATTTGGTTTGAAGTGAACTGTGACTTACTTGAATATTGCAGGGTTCAGTCTAGATTGCTTTTAAATTGAAGAGTCTACATTCAGAACATAAAAGCACTAGGTATACAAGTTTGAAATATGATTTAAGCACAGTATGGTGGTTTAAATAGTTCTCTAGTTTTTGAAAAATCGTGCCAAGCAATAAGCTTTATGTATATTTGTTTAATAATAACCTGTTTCAAGTCTGAGTTTTGAAAATTTACATTTCCCAAGTATTGCATTATTAAGGTATTTAACATTATTGTAGAGAAAAATATTTCTCATTTGATATAATTTTTCTTGATTTCACTGTGTGAAAAAAAGAAGATATTTCCCATAAATGGGAGCTTTGCCCATTGTCTCAAGAAATGTGTATTTCAGTGATAATTCCGTGGTTTTTTTTTTTTTTTAGAGATATATTCCAAAATTTCCTTGTGGTTTTAGGTTATGCAACTAATAAAAACTACCTTACCTTAATTACAGTTTTCTACACATGGTAATACATGATATGCTACTGATTTAGGAAGTTTTGAAGTCCAAGGTATTCTCTTGATTTTCTCTTGTATTTTTCATATTTACTATGGGTTACATTTTTTATTTTTTCAAATTGGATGATCATTTCCAGGAAATATTTTTTATGTTTTAGTAAGCAGTATTTTTTTGTTGTTTCAAAGTGAAGTTTACTGAGAGATCTATCAAATTGAGCTGTCTGTTGATAATTTAAAATTTTGGCCACTCTTTTCAGATTTTACATTATTCTTGCTGAACTTCTACTTGAAATTTTTTTCTCTTTTTTTCTTTTTCTTTTTGAATGTGAAGGTGAACATTCCTGATTTTTGTCTGATGTGGAAAAACCTTGGTATTTTACGTTTTGAAAATTCACGGAAACTTAATATAAAACAAAGTTTGCATTCTACTCAGGAAAAAGCATCTTCTTGTATATGTCTTAAATGTATCTTTGTCCTTATATACAGAAAGTTCTTAATTGATTTTATAGTCTGTAATGCTTGATGTTTTAAAAGCATAACATTTTAATATTTTTTAAAAGGCAGACTTCATATTCTCCTATTCTTTCCCGACTGCTAATACTGTGTGGAATTTCACAGGTAGAAATCAACAGGATGGAGCATTTAGTGTATTTTTACTCCTTAAAGAGCTAGAATATATAGGTTTCACCTTACAAGAAGGGGGAAAACCATAAATACAATGAATCAACTGACCATTATGTAGTAGACAAATTCTCTAACGTCCCCTTCTTTCTAGGCTCTGTTGCTATGTAAATCCATTAGACTTGTGGTATCATAATATACAAGTTTTCTTTAAAGTCCTCTCCTTTAGAATATATAAAATATTATACCATTGAAGAGTTTGGATGTGTAACTTGTGATGCCTTAGAAAAATATCCTAAGCACAAAATAAACTTTTCTAACCACTTCATTAAAGCTGAAGACTAGTATGATTTCTAGTTGCCTATTCGAAGGTATGCTTTATTACTTTGTATTTAACAATGTTCAGATGAGTAGTTGTGTGTTCCTATATGTATACTTGATATGCGTAATTGAAAGACTGCCTTCTTTTTCTATTGAGATGGTTAAGGACAGTAATGCTCATTAATCAAGCATTTTTTTTTTCTTTTTAGTGTTCTAGTATATGTGACATTGGCAAATTTTTTATTAGAAAATATGTGACCAGAGGGTTTCTATAGAGTAAAATAAAGCAAAATGAAACAAAAAACCACACAAAAAGACCCCTTATGTTACAGAAAATTTAAAATATGCTGAATGGATAGGGTCTTGAAATTTCAGGAAACATATAATCTCAGAGTTCTTAAAGATTGTTATTATAGATAGCTGAGTAATTTTCAGTTGGTAACAGGCTTATAGAAACTCTTTGGGATTATTTACAGATGGTTCAGGAAGGAATAAAATATAAGTAATATCCTGGAGAATTCTGTGCCCTTCACCCACAATAATCAATTCAGCTCTACTATTAAAGTATTGTAAAATCTGATCTTTAGAGGAAAATAGAGTATTCTACCCTATATTGTATAGATACTTAATGATTATCAGAAAGACTGAAAAAAGTTTTAGTGAAGAATTCTGGCTACATCTAACAGCTACTATTTATCAAGTACCTACTGGAGCTTTGTTGTTTTGCTGTATTCATTTAGTCGTAACGATGACTGCAAGACAGGTAAGCATTGCACATCTTTCAGGTGAGTCAGCTCAGAGGTTTGGTAGCAATAGGTAAAATTTGAATCTAATTCTTGTTTTAAGTCTTTTTAAAAATTTTTATTTTTTTTTTGTTTTTTAGTGTATGTGAAGTTCAGCAATCTCTTATCTGTTATTTTGGTCCTTTTTTTTTTTGTCTGAGATGGAGTTTCACTCTTGTTGCCCAGGCTGGAGTGAAATGGTGTGATCTTGGCTCACTGCAACCACTGCCTCCTGGGTTCAGGTGATTCTCCTGCCTCAGCCTCTTGAGTAGCTGGGATTACAGGCATGTGTCAACACTCTCAGCTATTATTTTAGTCTTAAAATTTCACTCCTATCAGAATATAGCAATAAATGCTACTTAGAAATACCATAATTATTCAATATTTGCAGTCTTGTGATGTTGGTTACTGCATAAAGTAACTTATTGCAGTAAATGATGCTTTAGAAAGCAGTTTTCTCTTGTCAGTTGTGTCCTTATTCAACCTTATGCAAAAGCATAGTTCTGGACTTAATTATGGTGTAATTAAAATTATTGTATGAACATTTTGGCTCATATTTTATGACATTGCAATTCATCCCAGTGGTCAATTTAAGGTAGGGTTCTTACAGTATATTACTTTTGATATAGGTATTTTATTAATAAGAACTTATTTGGGTTGGAGTTCAAATGCTTGGTTTTACTGAGTGATTGTATGATTCTATAAATAAAATTTTAATTGAACATCCTTGCATATTTAGATGTTGGTATTGCTTATCTAGCAACTTTTGTATTTATGAAACCATTAAAACTAGAGTGATAATGAATTTTATGTTGGAATTTTTATAATATGTAAGCAGCAAGATCAGATTATATGCTTGAACAGGTATAACATTTCCCCTTTTTTCTCATTTATTCTTAATTGACAGGAAATAATTGTGTACATTTATTGGATACAAGGTGATGTTTTCATCGGTGTATACCTTGTAGAAAGATTCAATCAAGCTAATATATCCATCACTTCACCAGTGTATCTTTTTTTTTTTGTGGTGAAAATGTTAAAAATCTAAGCTATTTTGAAATTTACATTATTATTAGTTGTGATCACCTATGCAATAGATCACTAAAACGTATTCCTCTGGTCTGAGACTCAGTGCTATTTGATCAACATTTTCCCTTTCCCCAATTATCTCTTTCTAGCTTCTTGTAACTACCCTTCTATTGATTCTATGAGATTAACTTTTTTAGATTCTACATATAAGTGAGATCATATAGTATTTCTTTCTCTTCCTGACTTATTTCACTTAGCGTAATGTCCTTCAATTTTGTCTGTGTTGTTACAAGTGACAGAATTTCCCTCTTTTTTTAAGGCTGTATAGTATTCCAGTATTCTGCATTTTCTTTATCCTTTCATTCATTGCCAGAAACTTAGGTTACTTCCCTATCTTGGCTGCTGTGAATAATGCTGAAATGAACATAGTTAGGTTATTGAGCTTCCTGGATCTGGATTTCTATTTCCTTCTCCAACTTCGGGAGTTTTCTGCCATTATTTGTTTGAATGTTTTCTGTCCCTTTCTTTCTCTCTTTTCCTGCTACATTGATAATGCGTAAATTCTGCTCAGTGATGTCTCATATACCCCTTAGGCTGTCTTCATTCTTTCTCATACTTTTTTTTTCCCTCTCTTCAAATTGAATGATTTCCAATAACTGTCTTCAAATTTGCTAATCCTTCTGCATGATCTAGTCTGTTGTTGAATCATTCTGTTGAGTTTTTTAGTTTAGTTATTGTATTTTTCAGGATGATTTCTGTTTGGCACTTGTTAATATTGTCTATCTTTTTGTTGAATTTCTCTGTTCATGAATAGCTCTTCTTACCTTGGTTAGCATCTTTATGACTGTCCTTTTGAATTTTCTGTCAAGTAAATGACTTATCTCCATTTCATTAGGGTTGGCTTCTGGAGATTTATATGATTTTTTTTTTTTTTTTTTAACTTGGAATACATTTCCCCTGTTTCTTCATTGTCCTTGACTCTTTGTGTTAGTTTTTGCTCATTAGATTAAAGAACCCCACTCCAAGTCGTGGTAGACTGGTCTCATGTATTATGTTCTTCCTCATTCAGCCTCACCAGAGATTATAGGTGCCTCTAAACTCTTTGTACTTGTCCAAAGAACCTTTGTTCTTAGTGAGCCCCAAGAAATTAGAGAGCATCAAGTCATACTATTGTCTTTTGAGAGGCAGGATAGAAGGCAGTTCCTTGGAATGCAACTGCAGAGGCTGGAGTGTTAGATATGTTGCAGTTCTTTCCTTGCAGAGAAGCTGAGAGCCAGAGTGTATCTCTCACTCTTTCCATCTTACATCAAGGACAGGCCAGAAGCAGATGCTTTAAGATTTGTTCAGACTGTGCACTTTGAACCTGGGGAGATAGCTGCTGAACCTGTACAAAGTTAAAAGTCACCTTTTGTTCTCTGTGGTCTAGGAGACTCAGGAGTACAGAGCTCTGTTGGTTTCCAGAACTAGGTGATGTAGGAGCCAGTAAAGGCTTGAGTGAAGGATTTACAAGTTGGGCTGCTAGATGCATGCAGAAACTGTTTCCACAGAGTTGCAGATTGGATTTGTTGCTGGAACAAGTCAGAGAAGATGGTACTGGGAGTGCCCACTCTCCTGTTAGAGCAAACAGAAGTTTCACAGCCTACTTGCAGGGGGAGACTTGTCTGGAGTTGTCACTGAAGTAAGTCAGGGAGGAAGGCAGGGAGTGTCTGCTTTGCCTTTCAGGCATAGAGAGGTACCCTTGCTGGTCAAGAAGGTGCAGGGGGCGTCATCCCTCCTATTCTTGCTGGCACAGGTCTCCAACCTCTTTCTCTGAAGAGATTATAGAGCTTCAGCAAGTTGAGGAAGGCGACACAGGGAGTGCTGTGCTTCCTGTTTAGACTTGAAGAGGTTTATTTATTTATTTATATATTTTTTGAGATGGCCTCACTGTGTTGCCCAGACTGGAGTGTAGTGGCATGATCATGGCTCACTTCAGCCTCAACATCCTTTTGCTCAGTGACCCTCCCATCTCAGCCTTCTGAGTAGTTGGGACTGCAGGTGCACACTACCATGTCCAGCTAAGTTGTTGTTCTTTTTTTTAGAGATGAGGTCTGAACTAGGTTGTCTAGCCTGGTCTTGAATCCCTGGGCTTAAGCGATCCTCGTGTCTTGGCCTTCCAAAGTGCTGAGATTATAGGTGTTAGCCACCACACCCAGCCTTGTTTGTATATGTATTTTTAGAGACAGGGTCTTGCTCTGTTAACCCAGGCTGGAATGCAGTGGCAGCATCATAAGTTACTACAGCCTCAAACTCCTGGGCTCAAGTGATCCTTCTGCCTCAGCCTCCCAAGTAGCTAACATTACAGGCACACACCACCATGCCCAGCTAATTTTTAAATTTTAAGTAGAAACATCGTCTTGCTATGTTGCGCAGGCTGGTCTCTAACTCCTGGCTTCATCCTCCTGCCTCTGCTTCCCTAAGTGAGATTTACTCTTTATTTTGCTATATAGGTTACCAGGTAAAGGTTTGTTAGAAGCCAGAATCTCAGGATGCTGCTGGCAAAGTATGTGTTCAAACCCTTTAGGAGCAAGTTGGGAGCTGAGCTGGTCTCAGCAGCAGCTGGGAGTGCTTGCTTGGTTCAAAACCCCCCTTTGCTCCTTTGTGCTTGAGGGAAATCTTCCGATGCCATGCTCTCCTGTGAAGCAAAGTAATTTAAGTGTCAAACCCTATGGCAGGGACTATAAATGCTGAGTACGTGTGATATGAGTCCCTCACCAGTCAGGAAGAAGCTAGGAGTTGGAGTTTCCTTTCTGATTTTAAGGTGCCATGCTAAGGATAGGATTAGTGTGCTGGTGTATCTCCACTTTTCCTACCTGTTTTGATGTGGATATTTTCTCAGCCATATGGTGTGTAGGTGTTTTTCAGCTGGATTCCGGCTTTCTCTTGAGAGAGCTGATCCATGTATAGGTGTTTACTCAGTGTGTCTGTGGGAGGAAGGACAGTCAGGAGCCTTCTATTCCAGCCTGTTGCTGACATCATTCCCCTCCTTCTCTTTTAAAGTAATTATTTATTTTGATTCATTAGCTATAAATCGTGATAATATAATAGCGGTGTTTTGCCTGGTCATGAAATCAGCTTATATCTCTCTACCCACTTGCCTGTGTGTGACATTACTTTTAGCCTATCTTCCTAGTGGTATTACAACTCAGACTGGTTGTGTCCTAAAAATGAAAACACCAGAAGTAAACTGACCAAACAGAGGTTTGATTTATCTGAAACTTCTTTTAAATGTAAAAATAATTAAGAGAGTCATTTTAAATTTAACGGAAATATATTTCATTTTTGAACAGTAACTTAAGCAATGTATTTCTTAAGTCTTCCTATTGTCAGTGTTTTTAAAAAAGCATGTCAGAAATAAGGTTATCCAGTGGATTAGAATATATCAGTTCAAGTCCTTAGGATGGTTCAGCATATTGCTACCTGGGCTTTTTTTTGAGACAGTCTCACTTTGTCGCCCAAGCTGGAGTACAGTGGCGCAATCTCACTTTACTGCAATTTCTGCCTCTTAGGTTCAAGTGATGTCCTGCCTCAGCCTCCTGTGTAGCTGGGACTACCAGCATGTACCACCACACCCAGCTAATTTTTTGTGAGATAGCAGGGCATTCCTTTTTTTTTTTTTTTTTTTTGTTACCCAGGCTGGAGTGTAGTGGCATGATCTCAGCTCACTGCAACCTCCACCTCCCAGGTTCAAGCGATTCTCCTGCCTCAGTCTCCCAAGTAGCTGGGATTACAGACATACTTAATGAAGCCTGGCTAAATTTTTGTATCTTTAGTAGAGACGGAGTTTCACCTTGTTGACCAGCCTGGTCTCGAACTTCTGACCTTGTGATCCGCCCGCCTTGGCCTCCCCAAGTGCTGGGATTACAGGCTGAGCCACTGCGCCCAGCCTGATACCAGGGCAGTCTTAAGAAACTTTCTCTAAACTTTAGATATCTCCTGTCTTCCACAGAATCAAATACACATTTCTTGGTTGGAAATTTTAAATGCTCTTAACTGTCTGCCTACCTTCCACCTCAATTAATATTCTTGAGACCACTTTAACAAATCAGCTGTTCGGTGAATGTTCCTTACATCGTTGGTTCATAACTCAGCTCAAATCTGTTTAAAGTCTTTGCCAGCCCACAAGTGTAGATTTTTTCATCCTCTGGCAGTTAAGTCACATTTTGTCTTGTAATGTTTCTTCTCTTACATTTATTATGCCAATTCGCTAAGTGACATTGAACAAAAGACCATACATCTCTTGCCTCAATTTATGTGTAAAATGATTCCTGAAGTTTTTTCTCTACCTTTAAGAAGATAATTATTAGATTCATATTTGTCTCCAAAACCTGATTGTCAGCTCCTTGAGGCCTGAAACTTGTTAGTTTGAAACAAACTGTAGTGATGTAGTGGGATACTTCTGAGCATTGATGTTCACCTTTCTAAAATGAAATAGGTCACTAGGAAATAATTCACACCGTGAGTCTGCTGAGATGGAGCCAAAAAAGAAGAACCCTGCCCTGCCCTTTACTCTCATAGACAACACTGTTGTGTTGTGTCACTGTACTAGCATCATCCTGTTCTTCACTGCAAAAGCCGGATTTTAAGTCCTCCATCTGTGTCTCCCCTGCATTCATATGCTTCAGGGACAGTTGACCCCATCTTTGTCTGCTAGGATTGAGTTTAGATTATGAACACACATGCTAATCCAATCCAGCAATTGACATGATCAATGGATATGTGGTCTAAATTGAGCCACTGAGATGCTGCGGGCTTCTGGCAAGATCTCTCCTCTTAAAAATTAGACTCAGAAAAGAGACAGATTCTCTTTTTTTTCTGGAGTTTGGCATTGTCTGGATGTGATACACAGAATTTGGAGGTCATCGCACAGCCTGAGGATGAAACCAATAAACAGGATGGCAGAGCCAAGAGAATCTCAGAAAGGCCAAGGGGAA